GACTTACTGGGCTACCCCCCCCGGTAGCCCCTCAAGCCTTTGGAGGCACACGTAGAGCTCAGCACCCCCATACGTGGGAACCGCAGAAGCATACCTTAAAGCTGTCATTATACACTGAATACTTTGGAGACACCTGCCATCGCATTGCTCTGGCGGCTGAGGGAAGAAGATCGCAAGTTCTGGGGCAGCCTGGGTTACATAGAGAGATCTTTTAAAAAAGAAGGAAAAAAAAAAAAGGGTGTGCCCAGGGGCATGGGAGGGGGGGCGGCTGGTGAGATGGTTCAGTGGTTAAGAGCACTGGCTGGTCTTCCAGAGGACCGGGGTTCAATCCCCGGCACCTACATGACAGCTCTTAACTATCTGTAACCACAGTTTCAGGGGATCTGACACTTTCACACATGAAATAAAAGTAAGTAAATTATATTTAAAAGGAAAAAAATGAACTTGTTTGGTCTGGTCTGTGAGTGTAGCTCTACTAATGGTCCTAGGTTACATCTCCAGCAGAGTAACTTAGAGTAAGTTCATGTGAAGCACAGAAAGCTTGGGAGATCCGGAAAGTACTAAACGAGAAAGAGAAAATGACCTGTCATCCCACGGTCCCAGTTAACCACCACCATCATTTTTTTCTGTCCCCCTCACCTGTGTAAAATGATAGGTTAATGATTTGTAGACCCACTACCCCTACCCCAACGATCAAACTCAGGCCCTCTCCAGATAGGCAAGTGTTCTAATCTCTGACCTCTCCACATATATATTCTACATGGTGTCTGAGAAAACAAAATACAACTTTTCAGTCTAGCACATTCTAAAAATTGCCAAGGGCTTCCAGCAACTCACAGCCATGTTTTATATTTTTGGCTCTTCTTCAGGGCATGTGTGAAAAAGAAAGAACAATAATATACTTTGTATTCCATGGATGTTCCATGGCTCATTGTTGAGAAACCCTCCTTTGTTTTCTCCAGTAATTTAGTGGTCTTTTTCTTAGAGACATTAATTGCTTGCATCAATTCTTGTACTTTCTGGTAGCAACTGGAGATTGTAGAAGGGCATTCTATTACTAGTGTGTAAATCACACTGGAAAGGGACAGCAACTGCTATGGCAGACTGGAGAATTGGGAGTGGAGCTGCCCTGCATTTGAAGAGAACAAACCGGACTAAGACTTGGAAGGTGACAGGGTAAGGAGGAAAGATCTGCTTCCTGGAGACTATTTAGAATCCAAATGCAGGTGAAACTTTTTATGCATTATTTATGTAGCTAGTGCCTATCATAGGGCAGTGTTTTGTTAATGCTAATGCAATATTTTGATGACCCTCACCTCTTCTCGATAAAGCTTTGAACCTATCCTTTATTGATTTTTATGGTTCTGGGGATCAAACCTAGATACACGCTAAGCATTCATTCTACTGCTGCCAGTCTTCATCCCCAGAGCCTTACTAAAAATGTTTTTCATTTCTGCATAAATGATGGTGTGTGTTTTTCAGGTATCCTTAAAGCTTGGTATAATGTGGTACCAACAAGCAAAGTATTTAACATGCTTGTCCAAGTAACTTGATCCTTTGTGCAAGAACTAGACAAAACAAATCAATAACAAACACTGGGGGTGGAGTGGGGTGGAGACTACAGATATACAATCAAATGTGTCCTCATGTAGAAATGTAACCACTGGGGGGCAGTAAGCCAAGGTTCACAACTGAGTGAAATAGTGGAAAAAATTAAGAGCTGTAGCTCATTTGTAGAGCACTTGCCTACCATACTCTAGACTGAGTCTTATATTCAGCACAGCAAAAATAAGTAAATAAAAAAATGAAATAAATGAGAAGGTATAGAGCTTTAGGAAATGCATTTGTCCTTTGTTTTTCCACTCCTTTGAAGCCATACTCCAAAGCACTCCTCTTCTCTTACGTGAATACAAGTAGATTTGTATTTCTTATTAATTCCTTTTTCCAACAGTATGCACTTTTATGTGCTAGGCAGTGCCTAGCAAAACAAAAGAAAAATGGTGCTAATAGAGTGAAGAAAGTTACATATTGTCAATATCATCTTCTGCAGGAAATTAATGAAAGTGGATGAACACGTGATTGAACGAGCTAAGGCCAATGCCTCTCTTTGGGAGGCCAGATTGGAAGTCACAGAACTCTCTAGGATTGAATATCGTGATACTTCCCGAAGACTGGCAAAAAATAATGAAGACTTAAAGAAACAGCAGTATAAATTGGAAAAAGATACTATGTCTGTATTAAGCTATTTGAAGAAGCAGGATCAGGAGAAAGATAATATGGTAGGTATGTAGAAAACTGAACCTCACAACCTCCCTCTGTGACATGGTTATACTTTTTGGAGGTTTTTTGTTTTGTTTTTGTGAGACAGAGTCTCTCTATATAGCCCTGGCTGTCCTCAAACTCCCAGGCATCTATTTGTCTCTGCCTTCAAATGCTGGGATTTTATTTTAAAAGATTATAAGACCTTGAAATCTCATCACATGGTTAGGATACTGTAGTTAACTTTTAACTCTTCTTGAAGAAAGCTGTTATTTCAGAATAGCTTTGCTATCATTGTCTTTTTCTTTCTTTCTTGTAGCATTATTTACATTAACAGAGATGACAGCAACTTAAAAATAACACTGGAGTAATGGCTTGGCAGGTAAGAATGTGTACTGTTCTTCAGAGGAACTCAGTTTGGTTTCCAGCACCCACATCAGGCAGCTCACAACTGCCTGTACCTCCAGCTTCAGAGAGATCTGATACTTCTTGACCACAACATATGGCCATATTCAGACACAACACATAATTGAAGAAAAAAACTGACAATTTAAAAACCTATTAAAAATAAATGGATAGAGAAATCAAGTGAGGCTGAGTGTGGTTGCACACATTTTAATCCAAGCACTCCTGGGAGGCAGGTAGACTTCTGTGTGTTTGAGGCTAGCCTGGACTACATACCTAGTTCCAGGACAGCCAGTTCCACACAGAGAAATTGTATGTCTACTCCCCCATCACTTCTCCCCAAAGAGAAAAAGACAATCATGTTTACATATTTATGGACAATTGTATAGCCTTAAAAAATGTAACATGCTACAGTATAGTGGTGGTGCATGCCTTTACTCCCAGCACTCACGAGGCAGAGGCAGGTATGTGTTCAAGGGCATCCTGGTCTATACAGTAAGATCCAAGACAGCCAGAACTACACAGTGAAACCTTGTTTCACAAAATCAAATATTAAAACATGTTGACAGAGTAAATTTCATGTAGTAGTTTTTATGTGTATATGTATGCACCTGAGCATCACATTCATGCAGGAGCCTGCATTGAGGCCAGAAGATATCAGATCCCCTGGAAATGGAGTTATATGCAGTTGTGAGCTGCCACGTAGGTGCTAGGAATTGAGCTTGAGTCCTCTGCAAGAGCAGTAAACACTCTGAACCACTGAGCCATTCCTCCAGCCCAATACTGCCTTTTTTTTTTACAACAATTAAAAAAAGTTATCCACATAATTCTGATGATAGCTAGATCTTAGAAATTATCAATAGCAGATTAAGTATACGAGGAAATCCCTGTCCCCTCCTTTACTGTCTTTCCTGGCTTAATGGCTTTAGTATTATATAAAATAATAAAGCATATGAATAGAAATACTATACAAAGTAATTCTATATCATCCTTACTCTGGCAATTTGTCTTCTACAGATAGAAAAACTGAAACAGCAACTGGTTGAAACAAAGGAAAAAGCCAAAGAAGAGAAGGAAAAATTGGTGAGTATCTACCTATACTGAGAGTTGACTTTTTAGTGAATCAGATTTCTAGTGAATTTGGTTATTTTAGGCACAAGGAGAATAAGTGAAGCTGGGTGGTGATAGTGATGTATGCCTTTAATCCCAGCATTCAGGAGGCAGAGACAGGTGGATCTGTGTAAGTTCAAGGCCAGCCTGATCTACAGAGTAAGTTCCAGGACAGCCAGGGCAGTTACACAGAGAACCCTATCTTTGGGGCAGGAGAGAATATGTAAAAAGGGAATCCAGAAGCATAGGTGAATGTTTACCTAGTATCCACAAGGTCCTGGGTTTGATCCCCAGATCTTTAACAAAACCAAACAAAACAGGAAACAAATAAATATAAAACCCATGCTCTTATTTATACAAATGTTCCAAAGTATCATATTATGGAGGCATATGATACACACCAAACTACTTCAAAGACTAAAGTAGGAGTCCTGCTTGAATCCTGGAGTTTAGACAGCCTCAAGGCCAGTATTATGGGCAGCATAACAAGATCTTGTCTCAAAAAATATAGATACTGAGTTCCACTGTGTGTGTTAAAGATCAAACCCAGGGGTTTCTGCATGCTGGTTGGTGTTATACTTTCTGTTACATACCCAGACTCAAAACACAGGATTTTATTATGATGTATGGTTCACCTTTATCCCTTACCAAGAGTCTTGGTCCTAAATGGTATCAGCATAATTACTTCAATACTTAAGGCTTACTACAGTGACAATCTCAGAACACTAAAACCACCACCAGTAGATCACTGGAAGAGTTCAAAATAGTGTGAAATTTTTGGGGAAGAGGTGGTTTTTCTCCTAAATATTTGTCGACAAAGATTTTTGATGAAAACTGCAAAAATATTTCTTCCTGTGGTGTTGAGGATTGAACCCAGGACTTCATGCATGCTACTTCTCTAATTCAACACTACTACAATTTAAAAACTAAGTGTGGTGGCTTGTTCTTGTAATTCTAGTATTCAGGAGGCTGAGGCAGGAGGACTGCTGAGAGTTCAAGGCTAGCCTAGGCTACATAGTTCAAAGGCAGAGTAGTAGAAAGCTAAGGTAGTTCAAAGGAAACAAGTGGGGAGATCCTGTCTGAAAAATAATATGAAATTCCTTTCTGTAAGATTGTGTTACCAACTAGCACAAAAGCTTTGAGTTTTATAGGTTTCTTATTTGGTTTGAGTTTTATTTATTTGCTATTGGGGACTGAATCCAGGGTTTCACATGCTAACCATATAGCTACTCTCTGAACTATATAGACAAAAAAATTTCCTGAATTTGTTTCTTATTTCAAGCCATTGGCATCATTTTACAGAAATTAAAATTTTATGCAAAAATTATAACTTTATGCAAAACAAAGATGGGACAGTTCTTTCAAGAAGATACACAAATGGCCCAGGCTTCAGATAAAGCGTGGCTCTATGCAACACTTGTTTTTCCTTAAAGTACTTCTTTTTTGAATACAGGAACATAAGTATACTATGCAGATAAATGAATTGGAGGGACAGTTTCATCAAAAAGCCAAAGAAATTGGCATGATTCAGACTGAGCTAAAGACAATGAAAGAATTCCAGAAGAGAAAAATCGTAGTGGAAAAAGAATTAGATGAGGTAAGTTTCTTTCTGTTTCTTATTTTCAAAGAAAGATTTATTTTATGTGTGTTCATGTTTTGCCTTCACGTATATAAGTACACTTCGTGCATCCCTGGTGCTGGAGGAGACCAGAAAAGGAAGGATGCTGGATTCTCCTAAACTAGATGACTGACAGTTGTGAGCCAGCACATAGGTGCTGGGAACTAAACCTGGGTTCTCTGTAAAAGCAGTAAGTGATCTTAACCACTGAACTTGTCTCCCCAATCTCTCTTTAAGGAGATTCCATTAACAATTTAAACCCTCTCTCCCAAAAAAAGTCTTCACATTTATTCCTTTGAGACATCAGAACATTTTAGAAAAGAGAAAGCAAAATGTCTCAACTGTTACATACAATATTTTTTTCTTTTTTTGTTTACCTGTATATGTCTGTTTTCTGTATGTGTGTGGAGTGTACCTATGTGTAGGTCAGAGGAGGACAACTTGTAAAGTCAGTTCTTTCCTTCTGCTGTGTGGGTTCCAGAGATCAACTCAGGTGCTCAAGCATGGCGGCAGGCACCTTTATCTGCTGAGCTGGTTCACCTGGCTGACAGTGTTCTTTTTCTAGGTATTGATTTCTTTGTGAACTTGGCAGGTCTCATCCAACGCACCTTCTTAAGTTAGTTAGTAGTTAAACCTTGGAACTGAATTGAAGCAAACCACCAGTTCCTAGGAATTGCCAATGGGAAAGTATCAGAATTCTACAGGAAAATGTGTTTAGGATGATGAGAGACAATTTTAGGAAAAATTAGAAGGCTGTATGGGTAGGGATGAATGGGGTAAAGAACACTGAAATTTCCTGTTTTATAAAAGGCCTGTTTTATTAGCTAGGATAGAGTCACCCGAATGCTTAACTGAAGTTTGAGAATTTGCTTCCAAAGTGGCCCATTCATATGGCTGTGCAGGTGTTGTCAGTGTGGTAGGCCTCAGCATTGCTCACCTGGGTCCTTGGTAAGCTGTCCTTGTTATATATGTTGGTGGATGACATGGAGAGTGAATAAGAATTCAATAGCTGCTCAGAAACTTGGTGTGTGTGTGTGTGTGTGTGTGTGTGTGTGTGTGTGTGTGTGTGTGTGTGTTGGTAGGGATGGAATCCAGGACCTTATGTATGCTATGAAAGCACTCTACCACTGACCTCTATCCCCAGCCCTAGTGGCTTTTTTTTATGACCTATCCTTGCAAGTAGCATGGCAACATTTCTGCCATAGTCTGTTATTTGGAACCGAGTCTCTAAATCAGGTCCACATTCTAGGGGTGGAAATAAGATTCCATCATTTGAAGATAGTGTCAAAGAATTGTAAACATACTTTAAAACCACACACCCTTCTAGCCCTAAGTATACACAGCTGCAGTAGGAATATTCATTTATTTTGGTTGCTTGAGACATGATCTTGTTATATTAAAGGCTGACCTGGAACTTTCTGTATACTCAGTCTGGCATCATGGTTGAAACAGCATCCCTGCCTCACCCTCTTAATTGCTATGATTACAGACATAAGCCTCCCAGAATTCTGTTTTCATTCTTTTCTCAGAGATTTTATTTTTAGTTATCTGTAAGTGTTGGGTGTGGGTACACATGTGTGCATATACCCAAATAGGTTAGAATAGGGTATTGGAACCTCTGGAACTGGAGTTACAGGCAGTTGTTAGCCAACTGATATGGGTATTGGGAACTGAACTTTGGACTGCAAGAGCAATATATGCTCTTAACTGCTGAATCACCTCTCTAGGCCCCATCCTAATGTAATTTTGAGAAGGGTTTCATGTAGCCCAGGCTGTCTCTGAGCTCCTGATCCTCTTACCTCTGTCTCCGTTGGGATTACAGGAATGCTTCAATCCCATTAGAAATCTTTTTTTAAAATTTACTTATTATTATATAGTGTTCTGTCTTCATGTATTCCTGCAGGCCAGAAGAGGGATGGATAGATGGTTGTGAGCCACCATGTGGTTGCTGAGAATTGAACTCAGGACCTCTGGAAGACCAGCTAGTGTTCTTAGCCACTGAGCCATCTCTCCAGCCACCCCCCCCCCCATTAGGAATCTTTTAAATGTCAGTTCTGATGATCTTCTGATCACTTCCCTCAAGAGTCTGCATTTCTTAGCTGTAAACAGCATATTGTCTAGACAGCTTAATGTGTAAGTTAAGACTATACACATAGCAAATTTTAATTTTTTTTTTTTTGATACAGGGCTTCTCTGAGTAACAGCTCAGGGTGTACTGGAAATCACTTTGTAGACCAAGCTGGCCTCAAACTCACAGAGGTCTGCTGGTCTCTGCCTCTCAATTGCTGGGATCAAAGGTGTGTGCCACCACGCCTGGCTTAAATTTTAATCCTTTATAACAATACAATTATACCAATACACGGTCTTTTATCCTTCAATTTACCCAAATTGGATATCCACATAACTCTGAAGTCTTCTCCTTTATTTTGTTGGTGCTTGAACCCAGAACTTTGGTTATGTTTGACGAGCCATCTATTACTGATCTACACTCCAGTCTTTGTTTTTCTTGCTTTGTTCTGAATATTTCTTTTCTTCTTTTTCTTTTTGGTTTTTTGAGACAGGGTTTCTCTGTGTAGCTTTGGAGCCTATCCTGGCACTAGCTCTGGAGACCAGGCTGGCCTCGAACTCAGAGATCCACCTGTCTCTGCCTCCCAAGTGCTGGGATTAAAGGCGTGCGCCACCAACGCCCGGCCTGAATATTTCTTAGTATGCATAAATTTCTGATAAATGTCTATCCATTAACCTTAAATGTACTTTCTCCCCGAGGCCTTCCCCCAGAGTCCTGTTTAATGATTCCGTATCTTTCTGTAGGATTTGGTACAGAACACATCGTGATTTACCTTATCTTCCCTACTAGATTGTAAATTCTTTGAGCCGGTAATTTTGTAATCGTTGCAATACAAGACCCGCAAGAGCAGTTTTCCAAAGACCTAGGGCATCTTTCTCTTAGACCTTTGCTGTGGTGCATGCGCCCTGGTGCATGCGCACTGACATTCTCGGGCCCCAGAGCGCGGCTCAGCAGTGACGTAGTATCCCGCGCCTCCCAGCACCAGCAGCTACTGCCAGCCGTTTCGGCGCTCGGAAGTCGAAGATGGCAGAGCAAGTTTCTCAGGAAAAGTCGGCGGACCAGGTGTGCTCTTTCCTCTTCAAAAAGCCCGGGCGGAAAGGGAGTGCTGGTCGCCGAAAGCGGCCTGTGTGCGATCCGGACTCCGGGGAAAGCGGAAGCAGTAGCGACGAAGGCTGCTCTGTGGTGCGACCGGAGAAGAAGCGGGCCACCCACAATCCAATGATCCAGAAGACGAGTGGCAGCGGTAAACAGAAGGCGGCCTACTGTGATGTGAGCAGCGAAGAGGAGGAGAAGCCGGAGACTGAGTGTCTAGGCGTAGTCTACAAGTCCACGCGCTCGGCGAAACCGGTGGGGCCCGAGGACATGGGGGCGACAGCTGTCTACGAGCTGGACACAGAGAAGGAGCGAGACGCACAGTCCATCTTTGAGCGCAGCCAGAAAATCCAGGAGGAGTTGAGAGGCAAGGAGGATGACAAGATCTATCGTGGAATTAATAATTACCAGAAATACATGAAGCCCAAGGATACGTCCATGGGCAATGCCTCCTCCGGCATGGTGAGGAAGGGCCCCATCCGAGCCCCCGAACATTTACGTGCCACCGTGCGCTGGGATTACCAGCCTGACATCTGTAAGGACTACAAGGAAACTGGCTTCTGTGGCTTTGGAGACAGCTGCAAATTCCTCCATGACCGTTCAGATTACAAGCACGGGTGGCAGATAGAACGTGAGCTTGACGAGGGCCGTTACGGTGTGTATGAAGATGAAAACTACGAAGTAGAAAGTGATGATGAGGAAATACCATTCAAATGTTTCATCTGTCGACAAACCTTCCGAAATCCAGTTGTCACCAAGTGTAAGCATTATTTCTGCGAGACCTGTGCACTGCAGCATTTCCGCACTACTCCACGCTGCTATGTTTGTGAGCAGCAGACCCATGGGGTCTTCAATCCCGCAAAAGAATTGATTGCTAAACTGGAGAAGTATCGTACAGCAGAGGGTGGTGCTTCCAACACCCCAGAAGACCCTGATGGGGTCTAATTGCCGTTACTTAGGTTTTCCATAATTGTCAGATCTCAAAGTACTTCTTGTTTTGGCCACCTCAAAAACCAACCATAGTTGAAAGAATATTAAGTTTTCTAGGAAGAATATCCAAGCTTTGTTTTATATAACAATGCTGCAGATTGAATCAACTCAGTTAACTTATGGAACTCTCACACTACCCATCCTGTGTATAGCAGCTATACATCTAAGTTAAAATAAAGAACTAGTTTATACCATAGTGCTCTGATGTGATTTTTTTTTGAAAGAACGATGTCGCCACCTATCGGAGAAGTAGATTTTAGACATTTCAAAGAGGACAGTTGAGGAACACTTAAAATTCAAGGGCAAAGTTACTGCCTTACTAGGAAAACAAAAACCAATAGGGCAGTTCTGTGGATCTCAAATGTAGAAGAAATGAGGCAAATGTGAGGGGCCCCTATACTTAAAATTGCAATGTGTACATTAGGTAAGAGATTTTTATTTGTATAGACTTCAGTCTAATTTATATTTAGCTTTTGAAAAGGAACTCAAGTCATGTATGTTAAAGGAAAAAAATGAAAGCCAGATTAGTGTGTTTGTTGTGTATATATGAGTGTCCCTGCCTTTGTGCAGTAAGGAGGTCAGAGGACAACTTTGTGGAGTCATCTGCGTCCACTTCTACTCATAAAACTAACTTAAGGTGACAGCCTGTGTGACAGACATCTTTACCTTTTCCTCCTGAGCCATCTCGTCTGCCCTTGTTTGGGTTTTTGAAACTGTCTGTCTGTCTCACACTGACCTGAAACTCATTATATATTCAAGGCAGGCCTTTACTTTGGGATTCTTTTTCTTCAGACTTCCAACTGCTGGGATTATAAGTGTGAGTCACTATGCTCAGCCACTAATTTTCACCTTAACTTGTTTGTGTGTGTGTATGTGTGTGTGTGTGTGTGTGTGTAGAAGTCACAATAGGAGTCAGTTCTTTTCACTGTGTGGATCCGGGGTTCCTTTATCCATTAAGCCATTTTGGATCCACTAATTATCTTTTGAAAGATGTATTGATATATAGATTTTGGGGAGTCTAGTGATATATCAAAGATCCATCTACAGACACTTGGATGGGGGATATTTGAACCATATATGAACTGGTATGTTGACATTAGTTTTGAAAGTTAACAAAATAAGCCATTTCAAAAATTAAATAGAAACTGTAGGAACGAACATCTGAAATAAATAATAGAATGAAGATTGAGTATAACAGATTATAATATAGAAAAATTTTAAGTTATAGGTGAAAATATTATGCCACTAAATATTTACTGTTCTATCCTTGTATTATTTACATCTTACCTGTGGAAAATACCTGGGACAAAAACAACAGAAGGGAAATTTTGGCTCACAATTTGAGTAGTCCATCATGATAGGGATGTCGTGACCTCAAGAATGTGAAGCAGCTGGTCACACCCACAGTTAGGAAGCAAAGGGTGATGAGTGCTGGTACTCCATTTGCTTTCTCCTCATAGTCAGCCCTGGACCCAGAACTGTTGAATGGTGCTGCCCACATTCTGGGGGGTTCTTCCCTCTTGAGCTGAACTTTTCTATTTTTAAAAGATTATTTTTATTTATATATAATTAATATATTCTATTACACATATCTGTGTTTGTATGCCCATGGAGGCCAAAAGAGGATGTGAGATTGCTTGAAGCTGAAGTTATAGGCAGGGGTAAGCCACCAAACATGGATGTTAGAAACCAAGCCTCTGGAAGAACATTAAATGTTCTTAATCACTTAGCTATCTTGCCAGTCCCTGACCCTTTCTAAAAACAGCTTCATAGATAACATCCAGAAGAGTGTTTATATGGTGATTCTTGTTTTGTCTTGTTTTTTAGACAGGGTTTCTCTGTGTAGCCCTGACTCTTCTGGAACTTGATCTGTAGAGCAGGCTAACCTAAAACTTAGAAATTCACCTGCCCCTGCCTCCTGGTGCTGGGAATAAAGGCATGTGCCACTATACTAGGCCCCAGATAATTTTTATCATCCTTTTTTCTTTAATTTAATATCCATGTGTGTATGTAAATGTGTATGAGTGTGTGTGTACATGCATGTGGAGGCCTAAGGTTGGTGATGGGAATCTTCCTCAATCACTCTTTGACCTAATTATTTGAGGCAGGATGTCTCAATCAAACTCAAAAGTTCCCTGATAAGACTATCTTTCTAGCTAGCTTGCTCTGAGGAGTCCTTGCTTTCCATCTTCCAGCTGGAATTATAGGTGGGTGCCACAGCCACCTGTGATTTACATGACTTCTAGGGCTCTGAGCTGTCTTCTCTTGATTGGAAGTGCTTTATCTGCTGAGCCATCTCCCTAGCCTGCTATCTTCTTTTTTTATATGTGTAGACTGTGTATTTTGTGATTCCATATCTCATATACCTTAAGAGAATATATCTGGAATGCCTTAAGAACTGTTACTCACAAAAAGTCCTTAAGAACCTCAATACTGGGGGCTGGAGAGATGGTTCAGAGGTTAAGAGCACTGACTGCTCTTCCAGAGGTCCTGAGTTCAATTCCTGGCAACCACAACCATCCGTTATGAGATCTGGTGCCCTCTTCTGGTGTGCAGATATACATGGAAGCAGAATGTTGTATACATAATAAATAAATAAAATCTAAAAAAAAAAAAAAGAACCTCAATACCAACTTAGTAAATCTATAGATGGTTAAGGAAAATGTACTCAGAGGAGATGACATTGATTTTGTGTTTGTGTTCAGGATTATAGGTCATACAATGTATCTTCAGAATTTTCTATGATATGTCCCACTCAATCTTTGAACAATTTTTTTCTTTTTTTTTTTTAAGCTGAAAGAAAATCTAAGGAACTCAGAAAAAAAACATCAGGAGACTCTTAAAAGACTAGAAAGCAGATTTTTTGAAGAAAAGGTATAGAACATTAATATTAAGAAATGTTTTGTTTATATGCATTCCAGTATTCCATTTGGTATCTTGCTAGAAAATGTTATCAGGTAGCAGAAAATAAGTGTAGTGGTGTACATCCATAATTATAGCACTTAAAATGTTGAGTCAGGAAGATTTTGAATTCAAAGCCAGCTCTGAGCTACATATCAAGGTCTGTGCTAGCCTGGACTACATGGAAGCCTGGGCTACAAGACTTGTACAGGTTGCCTGGACTACAAGACTTGTCTCAAAAAAAAAAAAAAAAAAGGTAGAATACAAGTGAGGAAAAACAAATCTCCATATTCCAGTGTCGTAATTTTTTCTTTTCCACATAGAGATTCCTTCTTTAATCTTTAATAATATGTAAAAAATAAAATTTGGGGGCTGGAGAGATGGCTCAGAGGTTAAGAGCACCGGCTGGTCTTCCAGAGGTCCTGAGTTCAATTCCCAGCAACCACATGGTGGCTCACAACCATCTGTTATGAGATCTGGTGCCCTCTTCTGGTATGCAGATATACATGGAAGCAGAATACTGTATGCATAATAAATAAAATCTTTAAAAAAAATAAAATAAAATTTGGCCAGGTGGTGGTGGTGCATGCCTTTAATCCCAGCAGAGGCAGGGGGATCTCTGTGAATTCAAAGACAGCTTGGTCTGCAAAGCAAGTTCCATGACAGCCAGAGCTGTTACACAGAGAAACTCTGTCTCGAAAAACCAAATAAGTAAATAAATATAAAATGTGTACATACTAATAGTGTACCGTGAAGTTTCTCAATATATTTATACATGTTTTGTTTTGTTTTTTTAACACAGGGTTTCTCTGTGTAGCACTGGCTGTCCTGGAACTCGTTCTGTAGACCAGGCTGGCCTCAAACTCAGAGATTGGCCTGCCTCTGCTTATACAATGTTTAAGTTAGGTTAAATATATCTTTTCAATTTGTTTCTCACTTTTTTAAAGATGAGGTCTTAAGTAGCCCCAGACTAGCCTTAAACTTGGTATTTAGTGGGAACTCCTGACTTTTCCACCTCCACTTTCCAAGTGGTGGAATTACAGGTGTGTTTTTCACACCTCATTAATAAGGACATCTATCTCCTCTGTAAGTACCACTTATGATGGAACTTTCAGGATATTTTCTTGTAGGTTTTTTTGAACATATTCACGTTATCAATCTTCAAGCTGCAGAAACTTGTGCTTATACATAATTGTAACTTAGCGCCCAAATCCACATTTCTTCATTCTATCCCCTCTGTGCTGGGTAGTTTTATGTCAACTTGACAAAAGCTAAGAGTCTGAGAGGAAGGAACTTCAATTGAGAAAATGCCTCCATAAGACTGGTCTGTAGGGAAGTCTGTCATTTCTTAAAGAGTTATTGAGGTGGGAGGGCCCAGTCCATTGTTTATGGTGCCATCCCTGGTCGGGTGGTCCAGAGTGCTGTAAGAAAGGCTGAATGAGCCATGGCGAGCAAGTAACCAGCATTCACCCATGACCTCTGTATTAGCTCTTGCCTCCAGGTTCCTGCCCTGACATTTCTCAGTGATGAACTTCGATGTGTAGATGTAAGCAAAACGAACCCTTTCCTTCCCAAGCTCACTTCCTTCCCTCTTCACTTTTCCTGGCCTCCATAACTGTCATTCCACTCTCTACTCCCATATGATTATCTGTCTTCCGTTTACCTATTTTGTGGTGCTGTGGATTGAACATAGGACATCACACACGTAGGCAAGCACTCTACACTGAGTTATCCTTCCAGCCAGGTATCAACCTGTTTGGAGTTACTTCTGAGGGAAATCATGCAGTACTTGTATTTCTGTGCCTTACTTATTTCACTTAGCACAATGACCTCTAGTTCTATTAAAGCTGCCACAAATGACTGGATTTTGTTCCTTTTTATGACAATAGCATTTCATAATGTATACCAGTTAGTGGGTAGGCACTTAGGTTGTTTCTATTCAAGAGTCTTGAAATATCCTTGTCTTATGAAGGCTTAAGGCCTCAGTTTGGTAGTCCCCTCTTTTCTTTCTTATTTTTAATTTTTTTTTTTGAGATGGGATCTCACTATGCAGCCATGTCTCACCCAGAACTAAAAATGTAGATCAGGCTGGTCTTGAACTCACAGAGATTCCTCCTGCCTCTACCTCCTGAGTGCTGGTTATTATAGGTGTGTGCCATCATGCCCTGCACATTCCCCAATTTTAAAATTAGTGACTTTCATCAGGTTCTATTTAGCAAAAATATCTTCCAGCTCTGCTTTCTAAGATAGATGTTTCTTTCCTGGTTTATGTATATGTCATTATTCTAGTTTGCATTTCTGTTGTGTTAATCACCATGACCAAAAACAACTTGTAGAGAAAAGAGTTTATTTCAGCTTGCTACATGAGTTAGCAATCAAGAAAATGCCCCAGATGTGACCACAAGTCAGTCTGGTGGAGGCAAATCTTCAATTGAGGCTCCCTTGTTCCAAGTGTGCAAGTTGACAGCCAAGATTAACCATCATAGTATTGCTGCCTCAATGAGAATTTTTTTACATATATTTATGCATATGGGTGTTTTGCCTGCATCTATGTTTGTGCACTACTTGTGTGCCTTGTGCCAGCAAAGGCCAGAAGAAGGCATTGATCCTGCAAACTGGATTTATAGACAGTTGTGAGCTGCCATATTGGGTGCTGGGAATTGAATCCCAGGCCTTTGGAAGAGCAGCCAGTGCTCTTAACTATTGAGCCTTCCCTTCACCATACTCTCCTTTTTTTGCTGCCTCTCCTCCACCAGTTCTTTATAGCCAGGCGATGGTGGCGCACGCCTTTGATCCCAGCACTCGGGAGGCAGAGGCAGGCAGATCTCTCTGAGTTTGAGAACAGCCTGGTCTACAAGAACTACTTCCAGGATAGGCTCCAAAGCTACACATAGAAACCCTGTCTTGAAAAACAAAACAAAACAAAACAAAAGTTCTTTATATCAGGTCACGTGAACAAGGTGTTTTTTTAAAAATCTATTTACTTATTTAAACTATGTGTATGTGTCTTGAGTATATGCATGTGTACCTTGTGCATGCAGGAGCCTGTGGATGTTGGAGGAGGTCTCAGGCACTGAAACTGGAGTCATAGATGGTTGTGAGCCATCATGTGGGTGCTGGGAACTGAACCCAGTCAGGTGCAAGAGCAGTAAGGGCTTTTACGCACTGAAGCATCCCTCCAGCCCGGGAACAAAGGATTCTGTCTGATGCTGAAGTAATTACTTTGTGATATGAAAAATCTGTTTTAGAAGTAGGGTTTTGTATTTAAACCTCCCATATTGTGTTTTTAGCACCGTCTGGAACAAGAGGCTGAGAAGAGGATAGTAATGCTGGCCGAGAGAGCCCACCATGAAGCTATGATGTAAGTCTGTTGCTTCCTCTGTCATTTAGTCTTAAGCTTATCTTCTCTGTCTCTTGACAAACTCCCTGTAAATATTCTTGTCCACCCTTACTCTCTTTGTGTCTCCTACCCTTTCTGCTCCAGCCTTTCCAGAACATGATATGGTAGCAATAACCTGCTCTTTGAAGTTAGATGCTGGCTACCTACATGCATGCTGGTTAACCACTGGAAAAATTATTTTAAAATATTTTATTATACTTATTTATTTAGGTAGGTATGTATATTTAATGGTACATTAGTGCCATAATGTGAGTTTAGAAGTCAGATAACTTACAAGAAGTTGGTTCTCTCTTCTACCATGTGGGTTCCAGGGATGGCAAGTACCTTTACCCATGGATCCATCTCACTGGTCTCGTTGGAAGGTTTTGGGTTGTTTTTTTTTGTTTTGTTTTGCCTTTTTGTTTGTTTTTTTTTTAGTTTTTTGAGACAGAGTTTCTCTGTGTAACATCCCTGGCTGTCCTGGAACTTGCTCTGTAGACCAGGTTGGCCTCGAACTCACAGAGATCTGCTTGCCTCTGCCTTCTGTAGTGCTGGGATCTCCTGGCCTTTGAATGATTCTTTTAGACAGGGTTTTTCTTTAGAGTCTGTCCTGGAACTCACTCTGTAGACCACGCTGGCCTGAAACTCACAGAGATCTATCTGCCTCTGCCTCCCAAGTGCTGTGCCACCACTGCCCAGTGGAAGAATTCTTAAGAAAATAAATTTGATGAATCAAATAGGCTGTCCAGACATGGTGGCACTCACTTAAAATAATGCCCGTGCTTAGGAAGAAGCTTCACCGGTTCTAGGCCAGCCTAAACTGCATAGTGAGACCCTGTTACAAACAAACCTAAAGTAGGGCTATAGAGCAACTGTGTGGAATTGTCAGAATATATGTGTGATAACACTAGAGTGTGCTATGTCAACATTGAACCCCAGGTCTCCATGGTTTATTTCTTGTTAATGTATTGATGAGTCTGGCAGCTTTCTTCAGGTGGGGATTCACTTTAGAGTTCTGTAGGTCCTCATATGGACATGGATACAAGAGGACATAGGAAATTGGTGCCACTTTACTGTGTGTGAGGTGCTAGAAGTTGAAAACCCATACTTGCATGTCCATTACACCCCTGAGCTACATCCCCAGATCTTCCCTTCTCTTTTTGAAACAGTCTTGCTAAATTGCCAAGGCCAGCCCTGTGCATGCTAGGTAGCCCAAGCAGGCCATGAACTTGTCAGCCTCCTGCTCAGCTTCCAGAATAGCTAGGATTATTATGTATGCCACTATTCCTAGGTTGCTTTTTGTTTGTTTAAGAGACAGGGTCTTAGCTGGGCATTGGTGGTGCATGCCTTTAATCCCAGCACAGACAGGAGGATCTCTGTGAGTTCGAGGCCATCATGGTCTACAGAGTGAGTTCCAGGACAGACTCTAAAGAGAAACCCTGTCAACAGAGCGGGTTCCAGGACACAGGCTCCAAAGCTACACAGAGAATCCCTGTCTTGAAAAAACAGAGAGAGAGAGAAAGAGAGAGAGAGAGATAGAGATAGAGAGAGTGAGAGTCTTGCCATCATCACCTAAGACATTGTTTTTCACTTACTGCTGAGGAAGAACTTGGTCACAAGGTCTCCATCTACCTATTGAGTAGTTACTCATAAGTTAAATTGTGATAGTGTCATGTGTGTCTCATGTTCTGCTCTCTCCCAGACTCTGGTGCTAGGGGTTTAATCCCAAGGACTTTGCACATGCTAAGCAATTATTCTCTCACTGAACTACATACTCAGCATAGCAGTGATCACTATAATGTTTGGAGTGTAAAGCTGTTAATGTTCTCTTAGGTATGTTTAAAACTTAGACATTAGCCAGGTGTGGTGATGCCTGTTTTTAATTTCAGCACTCCAGAGACAGAGGCAGTGGCAGGTGGAACTCTGTGATTTTGAGGCCAGCCTGGCCTACATAGGGTGACCCTGACTCAAGACACCCATTGCCCCCCACTACACACACATAAGAAACTTAGGCCTATATTTTGGATTCTTAAATATATATGTGTGTGTATCTTTCAGGCAGTTGAGCACTGCTGGAAGAAATGTTTTTAAAGAGAACGTGTATCTTCACAAGGCTCTTACATATCATTTGAAGGAAGCTGAAACACGACAGAAAACCTCCGAGAAGTTGCAAGAAAGTCATTCCTGCCTTATGCATCAAAAGGTTCCCTCTCATTTAGATTGTCTCTTTCTTCTTCTTTTCTAAAGATTGTGTGGTAAATAACAAGAACTGAGCATAATAATGATAAGGACAACAGTAGCATTTTCCTTCTGTCTAGGAAACTGTCTTATCAGAAAAGATTGTTAAGTAACTTTGAAGACATATTAGGCATGATTTTTACAAATATATCAGAAACATAAACATGACACTTATCCTCTGATACCTTAGAATACTCACTTTGTTTTGTTTATTGTTAGATCCTAAATCATTTAGGAATTGGTTTGGCTGTAACACACCTCACATTAGTGGTATCTCCACTTTGTTTAGTCTTTTACTTAAAGGATGCTTAAAGGAAAGAAATCCACATCAGGATTGGTTTCCTTAATTCTCTGCAACATGTACCTTATGTTCTTAACACTTAAAAAGTTGTATTTTTATTTTGTACATATGGGTGTTTGCCTGCATGCATGTCTGTGTACCATACCCGTGGAGACCAGAATAGTTTCAGATTCCCTGGAACCAGAGTTACAGACAGTTGTGAGCCATTTCATGGGTGCTGGGATCCAAACCTGGTTTCTGTGTAAGAATAGCAAGTGCTTTTTACTGCTGAGCCATCTCATCTTAAACATTTTCTTTATTTTCTTTATTTGTGTATGTTGAGAACCTCATGGCCAGGTGGCTGATAGAGACCTAAGTGTTACTCCAGACAACAGGAGGGAAGATAAACTAAACAACAAAGCATGGTTCCTTTGAAAATCTTCCTAGGGGTCCTATTTCCACTTTTATCTCAGCCAGGTGGTGGTGGTGGTGGTGGTGGTGGTGGTGGTGGTGGTGGTGGTTCTCGAGTTTGAGGCCAGCCTGGTCTGCAGAGCAAGTTTCAGGGCAGTCAGAGTTGTTACACAGAGAAACTCTGTGTAACTGGGGGGGGGGGGGAGGAGCAAGTAAACACACACAAAAAAATTCACCTTATATTTCAACTTGGCATTGCTGAACTGCAAGGGACCCTGGGACTTTCAGCTGACTTGAAGGAAAGGGAGAATGGACATTAGGATAGACAAATAGGGGTCTGCTGCAGTCTTCTTTATAGACTTGCTAATGGTTTTTGAACAGTCCTACTTATTTAAAAAATATAAAATATGTAACTTTATAAAGGAATTACATAGGAATTATAAAGAAAGTTTATAAGTTTCCTAATTAATAAAATCAGTGGATTGCCTCACAAGCCTAGGCAAAGGACCCAAGGATGTTTTTTTGTCCACAGAAAAAAACAAAATAATTGCCTTAGCCTAACATCACGCTCAATCCCCTTAGGTAATAGAAATTATTGAAGAACTTTTAAGTTCTAGAATGTTTAAAGAAAAAAAAAGTCTCCTTCTATTTTTTAGGAAACCAATGAGCTGTTGATTAAGGAAAAGATTATGCAACTTACCCAGCAGAAATCACAAATTCAAACTCTTCAGAAGAAGGTGTTAAGCTTGGAGAATGCGCTGACTTACATGACCACAGAGTTTGAGGCTGAAGTTTTCAAACTGCAGCAAAAGGCAATTATAGAGAACCAAGCAGGCAAGGTAGAAATTGACAAGCTGCAGTATCTTCTTGAGATGAAGGACAAGGAAATGAATCGAGTGAAGAAGCTGGCTAAGAACATCCTGGACCAGAGGACAGAAGTGGAGCAATTCTTTCTAGATGCTCTGAACCAAGTGAAACAGCAGATTCTGATCAACAGGAAGCATTACAAGCAGATAGCACAAGCTGCTTTCAATTTAAAAATGAGCGCAGCATGTGCGGGAAGAACAGAATACCCCAGAATCAGGACCTTTGATGGCAAAGAACACAGTACCAACAGTGTGAATCATGATCTCATGGAGGCTGAGAAATGGTAATGCTGTAATGCATTGTCTTTCTGTGCCCTTGTTTTCTGATCCTTTAAAACGTATGTGAGCCTTTAAAACTCAGCAGGTTGTGGTGGCTCATGCCATCCCCATTTATTTCATGACAGGAATTTGTAAAGGTGACTATTATTTTGTGCTGAGTGACATCACTGTTTAATGTCTTTTACTTTCTTTTTTCTTTTCTTTTTTTCTTTTTCTTTTTTTTTTTTTTTGTTTTTTTCGAGACAGGGTTTCTCTGTGTAGCTTTAGATCCTGGCACTCGCTCTGGACTCGCTCTGGAGACCAGGCTGGCCTCGAACTCACAGATCTGCTTGCCTCTGCCTCCTGAGTGCTGTGATTAAAGGCATGCGCCATCAACACCTGGCTTGTCTTTTACTTTCTTTATCTTAGCTCTTTTTGTTTGTTTTTTGAGACAGGGTTTCTCTGTGTAGCTCTGGCTGTCCTAGAACTTTCTGTAGACCAGGCTGGCCTTGAGCCCAGAAAAATGCCTGCCTCTGCCTCTGCCTCCTGAGTGCTGGAATTAAAGGTGTGCGCCACCACATCTGGCTAAGTTAAACATTTTTTTATAAGTATACTTTTCAGTTCCTTTTATGCTATTCCTTTACTATTCTGAGATAATAGGTAACAATAATTATATAATTTTTAAAAATAAATATAGTAATTCTTTATAATGACTGTTTTACAGAAATGTTCCATGGATTGGAGGGCATTCAGTAATGCCCCCTATATCACTGTATTAACCAAAAGTGTCTAGAGACTTTGTCATACTGTGGCAAGTGGGATGTCTGTGGCATCTTAGACTGCACTGGAGATGCATTCAGTTACTTTTTAGCACTGTGCTTTAGTAGTCTGTCCGCCATAACCCGCCATAACCCGCCAATTCGGGTCACAGTACTTGTTGTGTCTCTCATTTCATTTTATGATGATGGCTAGCATGATGGTATTACTTTTCAAATTTTATAGTTTGTAGTGTGTATAGTTTGCTTTGAAATCACTATATAGTATCTGGTTATTCTATAGAAATTTTCCATTTACATACTTTGTGTTTTTTAAAGAAGATAAGTTTATTTTGATCACATTTTTTTTTTACCATTGTTTTTCTTTTTCATTCTTCAGGCCAAGCACTCAAAAAAATGTGGATATTAGAGATTTGACCTGGGAGCAAAAGGAGAAAGTCTTGAGATTGCTTTTTGCAAAAATGAATGGTCTTGCTGCTAGGTAATTGCCCATTTGTGTAATGAAATGTCAGGTTGTCGAACCTAGAAGCCATGTAGGAACAAGGACTGTATTGTGATGAGAATTAAAGGAAATACATTAGAGACCAGAAAGGCCTTAGCTACTTGCTCAGCTGTTGCAACTTTTAGAGACAAAAGACTGGGAGATGAACAAATAAACACAAAAACAAAGAGATGTGGAAATAGGAGAGAGAAAATAAATCTCAGATGTTTAAGGTGATGTTTCCAAAGGACCACTGATTGGCTGAATATGTGGCACCTTTAGGGAAACTTAGCTACTGAGCCTGTATTGGTTTGCAAAGATGAGTATATTATTATTTTAGGCTGATTTGTTTTGTAGCAAAGTCTCATGTAGCTTAGGTTGCTTTTATCTCACTATGTCACAGAGGCTAGTCTTGAACTCCTGATCTGCCTCCACCTCCCAAGTAAGAATAATAATTAGGGGGAGGGGGAGGGGAGGGAGAGGGAGAGAGAGAAGGAATTGACATCTGAAGCAAGCTTGTTCCTAATTTGAACTAATAAAATAAAATAAAAAAGATAAAAAAGAATAATAATTAGGAACTTGGTAAAAGTTCACAGTTGACTATGTATAATTGTGAATTGAACAGTACAGTATTTTGTAATTGACCTAGATCAGACGGATATAAACAGTAAACAGATAAAATAGACGGTTTAGCAATCACTTAGGCACTATTAGTGTTTTACTAAGGATTTTTTTCATGTTTAACTACCAGAGTATTGAATGTTGCTACCATTTGAATAGGTTTACACTGTTTTCATTGGACTTGCTTAAGTCAAGTTTAGGAGTGGCATGTGTGACTTTCTTGGGAAGTCCGCATGTGATATTTTTATCTCTAGAAACTCACTCATTCAGAATGATGAATCAATTACATTCCATTCCTATTTATTACCCTAAATTTTCTGAAGTATATTGGGCCTGTCACCCTGCCTATCACCACTGCCTAACTGTTCTGTGTCTATGTGCCCAGCAGACATTTCTACCCTTTCTGTTCTATAAACCTTGGATATTAGCTCAAGCTTTTCCTTTGTCAGATCTTTCTTGACCTTCACAATCAAGACAGAGTCCCTAATCTAGGTCTTCATACCTTCATATAATCTCTCTTATCTCCAGAGGTGGGAGGAGGAGGATCAGGAGTTTAGGGTCATATTCTGGTATCTCCCTATCTCAAAACAACCAAAAGCCATTCACTTGACATAAATTATTTTTTGTTAAGTTTAGTTCCTAGGATCTACCTGTGTTCTCCTCCAAATGCTAGATTTGAACTCATGTCTTCTTGCTTTCTCAGCAAGTACTCTTACCCACTGATCTATCCTCCTTGTTCCATGAGGCTCATTTGTGTGAAGGGAACTTTGCTGGGTGTTTTGATCAGTTCTCTTGTTCAGCCTTGCCTTTAGACATTAATCACTGTTCATGAGCACCTTCATTATGGTTGTCTCCATAAATATTTGTTTCTTGAATTCAACATGTCTCAGCTTTAAGAATTATATTTGAATACTTAATACATCATATCTTAGCCAAGCACTGGTGGCACATGCCTTTAATTCCAGCACTTGGGAGGCAGAGGCAGGTGGGTCTTTGTGAATTCTAGGCCAGCCAGAATCTATGGAGAGAGTTCCAGGACAGCCAGGACAGTTATACAGAGAAATCCTGCCTTGAAAAACCAAAACCAAACAAACAATCAAAACAAAACAAAAATAAACTCTCTATATATATACACACACAAACACACATATATATATCGTGTATAAAACTCATTCTGGCCAGGTGTTGGTGGCACACACCTTTAATCCCAGCACTCAGCAGGCAGAGCCAGGCGGATCTTTGTGAGTTTGAGGCCAGCTTGGTCTCCGGAGCGAGTGCCAGGATAGGCTCCAAAGCTACACAGAGAAACCCTGTCTCGAAAAAACAAAACAACAATAATAATAATAATATAAAACTCATTCTGAAAATGGAAACCTTATCCAACTGAAATTTGACTCAACATTTTAAGGGCATTGAAATAGGAAGGCACAAGGAGACATTGCCTCATTTGTCTTTTGATGTTTATCTATCACAGGAAATACAGGTCGAGTTCTAAGCCTCCTGTTCCAGACTATATTTCTGACAGTGGAGAAATGAAAGAAACTGGGTAAGATTTTTTTCTGCTAGAGTTATGAACAAAAGCCTGATCACAGAGTCCCTTGTGGATATTTTATAGCTCGAGTTAAATGAGAATGATTTAGCAAGTCTGTTGTTTTGAAACAAATTTCATGCATGACTGTTGACAGCACTATTTTGTTATTATAGGGGTGAAATTAACCTTCCAGATCAAACCTTCATCACCCAGCAAGCTCCAGTATCAGACTCCAATAAAATGATGTCACCGAGTATTATTTCTAACGGATTACAGGACTCTGACATAGTAAGGAATCTGCTATTTAGTCAGACAGTACACCACTGGTACCTTTCACTATGTGACATCTTGCTAGTTCACAGTTCTCTACTATCCAAACAGCTCTTAGGGACAGATTGTAGAAATTTTTATAACAATGTCCATACTAATAAGGCAGCATATTATATGTACCTGGAGAACCTATTGATTCCTTTCTGAAATAGGCAGCTTAAGCAAAATCTGTATTGTGTTACTACTATTGTTGGGGATGATGAATGAACCTTTGTTCCTCCCTAGGAGCTTCCCCTAGGCATCCTGTCTGTTATAGAAGTACAGACACACTATCTTTGCAATTCTTGGCTTTGAGGATAGGTCAGAAGCACAAATCACTATAACCTAGAGAACAAAGGAAGGAAAAGACTTTTTTTTCCCCAAAACTGTGTCCCCCCCCCAAGGGCTTTTTATTTGTACTTGGTTATACATAATTAGTACACAATCTGACAAAATTCAAATGAAGTCATAAAAGAACAAGAAGGGAAAATGCTGGTTTTTTGTTTTAGTGACACTAACCTGACTATGATGGCAGATTTCATCTAGGAAATAAGAAACTCTTTGAGCACAGGCAGCTTAGAGTGGCGAAGTTCTGATCAGTTGGTGTTTTTAAAAAGTAACTTCCAAGTCTCTGTGACTACATTCTACTTGGAATTCAGATAATAATCACTTTTCAACCCAACCTAGTTATGAACTGTTGAATTAGTTGAATTAGTTATGAACTGTGTTTTCTAAGAAATCAAAGGGCATTGTAATCACAAACTACAAATTTCTCCTTGGCTTTAGGATGGAAAACAAAAAATCAGAGTTGTGTTTTGTTAAAGTGACTGAAGGCTCTGAATTCTACCAGAGGTGGACACACTAATAATCTTAAAATTCCTACAGAGTAGGATTTCTAAGGTTTTTCACAGCCTTTATTTTAACTCACCAACTAACCCTATGGACTAGAACAGCACTGTCCACATGACTGTACAGAGCAGTGTAGTCAATGACCAGCACCACATCTCACTATGCGCTGGAGATTGAGCTAGCAGAGCCAGCAGCCATCTAGTTCAGAAAGCCGGGCTTCAGACAGGATAGACAGACAGACAGAAACTATTGTATTCTGCACATCAGTCTCTTCTGACTTCAGAGTTAGAGCATCAGAGAAGCAAGTTAAAGGCTGTGAACAAGTGGTGGCACTGTCAAAGCATGGAAACTTAAGTTTCTTGTAGCCCAATCAATTATGCTATATGAAGAGATCTTTCATTAAAAAGTAACAACTAATGAGAAATGTTGGCAAAAGAAAGAATAACATAAATTTTGGCAAATAATAATAGGTTAGGCTTGCTTAATGCAAAGTGTTTTACCCACTTTCATGATTGGAACATTCTTTGATTTCTAGGTCAACAATAACTTGTGAAATAATTTTTCTAAGGATTTATTTGCATGTGAATTAATGGCTGGAGTATTTATTAACACTTGCTAAAGCAAACCACGAAAGATGGCACACATAATGAACAGCTAACATATCACTTGCATCCTGAGGTATCTGAGAAGTATTTTAAGAAAAGAATTCTATTTAAGATAGAATTAAGTAGTGGTCATGAATAAAAACAAGAAGAAGGCAGCACTGAGCAGAAAAGAAGCCGTTGTCACAATGCGGGGATAAGTAAAAAGAGGTTATGTCTGTGTAGTGTGTAGTGGGAATCGATGGAGGGCTGTGTTTGAGGCTCAAGTAGAGGGTGAACTGTTTCCATCCTACTTCCCTATCCAAGAGGAAGATCTGTCCCTACAATGACATTGCCCTCCAAGTCATCAGAAGAACTGTTAGAAGATGGTTCTAAGCTCTCATTCCAGGGAAATACTTCACAATTACAAGTTACCTCCAGAACAGACGTATGAAGAGCAAGTGCAGACCCAGCATTAGTGTTTCCCTGCAGTCTCTCTATTAATTTGAAGGAACTGACAGTTCTGAGAAAGAGATTGGCTGCAACATATTCCATTCTCATGGATCTGATTTGAGCAAAGATGACAAGTGAGGGTGGCCAAGAGTGATGGGAAATTACACCAGTTGGACTGAGTCTTGAAGAACTTGTTCCTAACGCCCCATGGTAGGCATGACTACAGCAGGTGAGGAAAGAGTAGCATCCTCTTCTTTCCACTGAGATGTGATAGTCTTAAGCTGAGTGTAAAACTGGATGCCCTAAAAGGGACAAAGAAAAAGAATCAGCTTACACTCCTAGAAGTATACGTAACTTTAAAGTTTGAATAATTGATGCCACAAATCCAATGTTCATGAGATAGTCTACGTAAAACATTTAAACATTTATGGGGATAGAGAGAGATGGCTCAGCTATTAAGAGCACCTCTGCTTGTGCAGAGGACCCAGGTTTGATTCCCAGCACCCACTTGGCAGCTCACAGTCACCTGTAACTTCTGTTCTAGGGGATCCAACACTCCCTTCTGGCCTCTGACGGAATCAGTCACACACAGTACATACACATATATGTAGGCAAAACACACACACACACACACACACACACACACACACACACATATATATAGATATATAAAATTAAAACAACCATCTCCAAAATAAAAAACACATTTATGGGGCTAGGATACAGCTCAATTAGTAGAATGGTTGTCTAACATGCATAAAGCCCTGGATTTAATCTGTAACATGGAATAAGCCAGGCATGGTAATACAAGCCTGTAATTCCAAGATTCAAGGCAGGAGGATCAGAAGTTCAAGGTCATCCTTAGCTACAACAGTTAGTTGGAGACCATGTTAGGGTATATAAGGCCATGTCTCCAAAAAAATAAGTAAGTGTGGGAAGGCGTCTTTGTGGGTAAAGCAGTTGCCACATTAGGACCTGAGTTCAAATTCTCATAACTCATGTACAAGTCAGGTGATGTAGCAAGCTTCAGTAATCCTGTGTGGTGAGATGGGTGGTAGAAACTCAAGGGCCAGCTAGTCTGACAAGAAGTCAAGATAGCAAGGATCAACATCCAATGCTGTCCTCTGGCATCTGCATGGATACCCCCATCCCTACCTCTCACACAAAGAATTAAATAATAAAAATACTTAGCATAATACCTGCCATATAGTAAACATTCAGACCTTAGACATCATTAATATAGTGAAGTTAGAATTTTAAGCATAAGGGTATCAAAGAAGACAAAATGAACAATGTAATCTTGTTAAAATTTCAGGCCACTGTATTTCAGAGCTGACTATGCATCAAAGCCAACAGACTTTGCTCAAATCCAGCTTCTATTGTTTACTGTAGCTTAACCTTGTGCCCTGTCTGTGATATAAACTCACCTTTTATCAATGTTGTAAGGAGAAACTGAAATAACATGGCAAAGTAACTGGTATTCAACAATTTCTATGTCTAATAGTCAGTGATAATGTGCTGTATTATATAAAGTAGCAAACCTAAAACAGTATATAGATCAATTTAGCCAAACCTTTGGTACACTTCAGGCTGTATAAGACCTATGTTCAATCTTACCCCACCTAATATATGTATAATTTATTGTAGAAGAATAAGCAAGATATGACAAATGGATAGAAGTCATTCAGATGACAGAGGATGACAGGAAAAAGAAATGATCTATACAAAGATTTGGATTTCCTTATGTTTGTTCCTCTAAACCCATTGCCTTGAGTTCTTCATGAAGAGACAGGCTTGGCAAAATTTTGTTAACTTTTAAATTTTTTTTTTAGATGCCTGAGAAATAGAGCAGAAAAGCAGATGGCAGCCAGTCCCTTCCTTATGTAATCTTGCTCTGAATATGTTCAAGAAATTTTCTCAAAGGAAAAGAGAATTCCAACTCAAAAGTTACCTGTTTGCCATAGAAATTGGTGTCTCCCCTGAAGGAAGATCGAGAGCCGGTGAAGGAGAACATGGGCAAAGGCACTGGAATGGGGACATTGACGCCCACCTAAAAAGAACAAGTGCACGTCAAGTACTCATCAAAGGGCTCCAACCACAGTGCCTCCAAGTTTACTGTTTGTTTTTTGTTTGTTTTTTTTTTTTGGATTGTATATTTTGTTTGGTCTGGGTTTTTTGGAGATAGCAATTTTAAGTAATCATCTTGCATCCTTTGTTCCACCCTAAGAACCTTTATTCCTGAGGAGGAATGGGGAATTATGGGCAATTAAAGGTGCAGTCTTCAAACAAGTTGCAGTTGACTGATGGTTGTTTACTGATCCAAGGATCTTCAAAAGTCGCATTCACAAACCTGCCCAACATCCACCAAGTGAGAGTATTTCCGTGCAGTGGCTCCATTGGTAGTAAAGATGGCAGTTCCGTTTCCATATGGGTTGTCATTTACAATCTTGATGGCTTCATCCAATGTCTCTGTCTCCAGAACCACAAGAACTGGACCAAAAATCTCCTCTTTGTAACAGGTCATACTTGGCTGTCAGGAGAGATGGATCCAGAAAAGAAGTCAGTTTTTTGAACTGAGTATTTTATGCTTTTTTGGCACTCTGACTCACTGCCCATTGTCTCCACAAGCAGCTTTCATGATAGTAATCTTTCATCTTCTCCACTGCTGTCCCACCATATAAATAACTTGGAATTCTTGCATCCTTTGCTTTTCAGTACTCTATTACACATTCAAGACCCATCACTAGCTTTTTTTTTTTTTTTTTTAAGTTTATTACATATATAGTGTTCTGCCTGCATGTACACCTGCAGGCCAGAAGATGGCACCAGATCTCATTACAGATGGTTGTGAGCCACCATGTGGTTTTGGGAATTGAACTCAGGACCTCTGGGAGAGCAGCTAGTGCTCTTTACCTCTGAGCCATCTCTCCAGCCCCCACCAGCCGTCTTTTTACTACCTCTACAACCTGTTTCATAAGTTGTTAGTGGAAGTTACATAAAAGTTTGTTTTTTGAGACAGGGTTTCTTTGTGTAGCCTTCGCTGTCCTGGAACTAGCTCTGTAGACCAGGCTGGTCTCGAACTCACAGAGATCCACTTGCCTCTGCCTCCCAAGTACTGGGATTACAGGCATGTGCTACCACTGCCCTAAGTCATTTTTATGAATCAAACGTATATTAAGTACACGAGAACTTTTCCAGAAATTCCTTGCTGAATGCTCTGTAACAAAATATCCATTCTCATTCATTCTTTTGCTTCCAAATACATCTCCAATTTTGATATTGGATTCTAGTTAAACATACAAAAACATCCTCCACCAAGCCAGGCATTGGTGGGGCACACCTTTAATCCCAGCACTCGGGAGGCAGAGGCAGATGGATCTCTGTGAGTTCAGTCCAGCCTGGTCTACAGGAGCTAGTTCTAGGACAGGCTCCAAAGCTACACAGAGAAACCCTGTTTCGAAAAACATAAAAAAACAAAAACAAAAACAAAAACATCCTCCACCATTGCATCTAGTCAGCTGTGTTTCTAGTAGGTTTTTTCTCTGCAGATCTGTGGCAAAAAACTTCAACCCGTGATCTTTCAGGATTAGTGAAGACATACAATAAAAAACTTACCTCCAGCTGGAGAGGTGGCTCAGAGGTTAAGAGCACTGACTGCTCTTCCAGAGGTCCTGAGTTCAATTCCCAGCAACCACATGGTGGCTCACAACCATCCCTTATGAGATCTGGTGCCCTCTTCTGGTGTGCAGTTATATATGGAAGCAGAATGTTGTATACATAATAAATAAAATCTTAAAAAAAAAAGCTTCAATTTAACCATGAAGGTTAGCTGAGAGACTTTCAAACTTTGATCAATAAAAATGAATAGATTTCTCTTGTTTCATTCTGGTAAAGAGGAATTAACTTTTGGGCATGGGGTAAGATATTCTTTGAATACTGAGTAGTTAATATATTGATTGGGACACTCCAATAGCTATGAGCAAGTGGGAAAGGACACTGTAAGACAAGGGTTTTAACTACTGCCTGTAGGCCAAATGTGGCAGCCACTTGTTCTTATATAGCCCACAAGCTAAGAATAGTTTTTACCTTTTTTTTTAATGGTTAGAAAAACATTCAGAGGACTATTCATGACATAAACTTATAAAATCCAAATGTGTGTCCATAAACTACTTTACTGGAATACAGCGGAGTATGTATGGTTGACTTTATACTACATGTCTGCAAAGCTGATAGTCTTTACCCAGGGAGAGTCTGCTTTACTGGTTGGTTTTGTGTCATCGTGACATATCCAAGTCACCTGGGATGAGGGAACCTTTTTTTTTTTTTTTTTTTTTTTTGGTTTTTCGAGACAGGGTTTCTCTGTGTAGCTTTGGAGCCTATCCTAGCAATCGCTCTTGTAGACTAGGGTGGTCTCGAACTCACAGAGATCTGCCTGCTTCTGCCTCCCGAGTGCTGGGATTAAAGGCGTGCACCACCAACGCCCGACTGGATGAGGGAAATTTAACTGAGGAAATGCCTCCATTAGATTGGCATGTGGGCACATCTGTGTTGTATTCTTGGTTACTAATTGGTGATAGAGGGCCAAACCCACTGCTGATGGTGCCATTCCCCGGGCAGGTGGCTCTGTGTTGTATATAAAATCAAGGTGAACCATTCATGGGGATCAAGCCTGTAAGCAGCCTTCCTCCATGGTCTCTGCTTCAGTTTCTGCCTCCAGGCTCCTGCCATGAGTTCCTGCCCTGAGTTCCCTCAGTGATTGCCTGTGATCGAGTATACCCCTTTTCCCCCTTTTTTAGCTTTAGTCATGGTTTATCACAGTCATAGAAAGCAAACCAGGGCATGTACCATATAGTGAAAAGAGCTCTGGTTGGAAGTCAGGGAGACTTATTTAGCTTTCAGACAGAATAACTGAGCAATTCTGGCAGGAGTTAAAGTTTTAAATGTCTTCACTTATAAATTGGAGATTCCATAGCCTCTAAGGTGTCTTCAGCTCTTGGATTTGCAAAATAACCCAGAGTTGTTTACCTTGACATTGGAGATGATGGTTGGTCCAACAAAGTTACCATTTTCATAGCCTTTGACTTTAATTTTTCGCCCATCCAAAAGGATGGTAGCTCCCTCTTTTGTTCCACTATCTATCAGACTGCAGACTCGCTCTTTGGCTTGGGGGGTGATCAGAGGGCCAAGATCAGCTCCAGGCTGGTCCCCTATAAAACAAGAACTGTCTTAAGGTTGTAACCAACATAAAATCTAACTGCTGAAATAACTATAGACAGGTAGAGCTAAAGACAGGCAACGGTATTAGTATACAAAGCTGCTTCCCTGGGCAAGGCCAACGCTAACTACCAAGTGAGTACCACACAAGCAAAGTCGAAAGCTACCTGGCAGGTGACCAGTTACCTGCATTGACTCGCAGGTTTTTGGCACGGTCCACCAGCTCTGGCAGCCATTTTTTAGCTTCTCCGACAAGGATGGCTGTTGAAAGAGCCATGCAGCGTTGGCCAGCAGCTCCAAATGCAGCCCCGACCAGTTGGTTTAGTGTATTTTCCTTATTGGCATCTGGCATGACTACTCCATGATTTTTGGCTCCCTAAAGAAATGCAGAAAGTACACAGGTCATCTTAGCTAAATTCAGTTAAGCCAAAAACTTAAGCAAAGAATCTAATATATAAAATGAGAATTTAAGGCTGGGCGTTAGTGCCAATGCTTTTTTTTTTTTTTTTTTTTTTTTTTTTTTTTTTTTAAAGGGTTTCCCTGGGGTTTTGGGGGGTGTCC